GGTTCTCCTCGAACAACCTCTAAATTTCTTCACTTAACAAAGGAAGGGATCCTCTCAAGAAAGAGACCCAATCTTAGCTCATATATATGTGTGTGTGTGTGTGTGTGTATGTATACAGAGGTACAGAAAAGAAGAAGTACTTTGGGTCTCTTGGGCACCGGAACGTTCTCTGTAAGCAACCTGTTCTTGCTGACCTTGTCTATATCTATCTATATACACACACACACACATATATATAGATATGAGCTAAGATTGTATAAATATGTGTATATATGCATATATAAAAGCCAGTGTCTCCTTGCCCCGATTTTCCTTCCTTTTAAAATGAAACTTCAAAGTGTTTAATTTTTTTTTTCATGTGACCTAGCATTGTTGGAGTTTAGTCTTTGTGTGTTTTGTTTTTTAGACTTGTTATTTTTTTGGCTGAGCTGTAAAGCTTCCAGACTTCCCAAGTGCTGACGATATCAAATGTATAAATGCCTTCTCTTTGATTCCTTTCTTCTCAAAAGTGGAAGCGTGTGTCGCATAGTTTTTACAGTACCGTAAAGAGGCTCGCTGATAGTTAACAACAAAGTTCCCTTTATGTGCAGTGAAGCACCTTGACTACAGCTGTCATTTCAAGGCTTTATGATCATAAAAAGATGGGATAATTTGGGGCAAAACCCTACAGTGAGCTTGGTTGTGCAAGAGTGTTTGTGCCTCTGTGCATTTGAGTCCAGTGTGATCAAGAGTGTTTGTGCCTCTGTGCATTTGAGTGATCAGTGAGTGCTCTCTGTGTGGCTGGGAAAATCTGAGATCGCAGAGGTGAACTGAAAGCATCTGCCTTCTCTTGCTCCCCTCCAGGTGTATCGTCTTTAAGTGTCCAGTTTGCCAAGCTTCCAAAGGGGCTGAAACATTTAAACTTGTCTAAAACCTCCTTGTCACCTAAAGGTAGGTTTTATGGAACCTAAAGGTATGTTTTATAAATATGCTGAACTGTGAGCTGGATTCAGCATCTGTTTATGTCTTTTGAAAAGCTCTTACTTCTATAGGACTTGGACTGGAGCCTGTGTTGCAGTGAAATAGAATTAATTTAGAACCAGCATGAAGAATGCTTCAGAAAGATAACCTGTAGCACAAGTGTGTGATGAGTTTTCCAAATGATATTTGGAAAGCTACTCAAGTATTTTGCACACAATTATTATCTCACAAAATAAAGTGTTGTGAGAATTACTCAGAGCAATCACTTTTAACAGTCAAGGTTTATTCATTTTGTAATTAACAAATTTCTGACTTAATGTATTTATTGCAATTGAAATACATATTTTTAAAAAATATAAATCTACTGAAACATACGTAAGATGATTTCAGGCTTTTCTGAATTGTTGTTTTACAAATAATAGATGCAGTGAACTCTTAGATACAATGCAAGCCAAGCTTCTCTTGAAAATAACGTAAGGTTAAAAAGGAATGCACTATGTTATCACAGCTTTTTCACAGAAGATGACTTGGAAGAGATGACTGAATTACAGTCTGTGCAAGATATTAGATCATAATAGGTATAAACTGTGCTCTATTATCCCTTTAACTATCGCTCTGCGGCATGAACAATCTGTGTCTTTTCTAAGCTTCGGTTGTTGACCTGCGAGTTTTGGGGAAGGGTATGGGGTGATAAGTGTTCCATAGCTCTTATTATATTTAACAGATGGCAAATGCTATCCTGAATTTATTCATTCAGCATTTTCATTAACAAGGCTTTCTTAAACTGTTTTCTTTTCCTACTGCTGACTTTATTTTTTGTGGTGACAAGCAATTGATTAAGAATACTGACTAGCCATATTTTTATTCTTAAGAATAAGTGATGAAGAATTAAACAAAAATTCATTTTACTCCAATCTGTGCATCTATCCTGTGCTCATGTAGTCTGAATGATTTTTGTAAGGGCTCTGGATTGTTGCATGAAGAACATACTCTGTCTGTACTGCCACCTCTGTAAGGAATAAATACTAGCTTGGTGAGGCCTTTCAACAAAAACGAGTTTGCAGACATGAATTCTGAGGTTATGAACTGAATTACGACTGATTTTTTTAACTCTCCTTTTAAAGATAACCTTAAAACCTGAGAATATACTCCAGCCTGACTAATATTGACCTCGTGAGAATCCTAGGGCAAGCCACGTTACAGTAGTTACAATACAGAGAACATGTTATCCTGAATATTGTCCCATGGCAGCCACCCAGAATTCCCTTTAAAAAAAAATAAACTATTGATATGATAGATTGTTGGTGTATAGGCTGTGACTGTATTTGCAACATCTTAAAATTGGGATTTTTTTGTAACCTTCTGAACCTGGAGAACCTCAGCTTTGCCACTTTGGTTCTTTGCAAAGCTCTTCTCCTTAGGCAGTTTTTCCTTAAGAAGGCAGCACTGAATTGGCTTGTGCCTTGGAAGATTATTTTTGAACTTGTGAGATTGTGGGTTTTTCCTTTGGGGAAGGCAGGTGTCTTAAGGAGACTGTGTCATTTGTTTAGGGAAGTTCTTTGCTGACCTTGAATTCAGTAGATCATCTACAATTCCTCGCTGGTTTTCTGCCTTACTTAAAAATTACTTTCTATTTGAGATAAGTTTCTAAGATTGAGCTCTGAAGTTCGGACGGTGCCTCCCCCAGCTGATCCTTCTTCAAATATCACATCTCAGATTTCCCAGGAGCTATTAGCAGTCTGAGCCCCCTGAGAGCAGTAAAAGAGCAGTAGATTGTCTGCAAACAAAAGCGAGATTACTGTTAAAGTGTAGTATGAGGTAGGTGAAGTTCAAGCACAAGTTTATAGAGTTGAAGATTCAAGTTAAATGGAAAAGTCTGATGTGCCAATTCAAAGATTTCTGAACATGAAATGAGCCGAAGCCTTATAGACTTTCCTTCCCAAAGCTAGCCTAGACGCTCCTCCCCAGGTCTCTGAATTGGTTCTCCAAGTTATTTGTGGGATTGTTGAGTGCATTATATTAACTTTCACTTGTAATTGCTTAAAAATACTACTCTTGAAGAGCTACACTAAAGTGGGTCAAGAGCTATAATCTCTGGTTGTTCAATAGATCTTTTAAAAGTGGTATTTGCCTTTGTATTTGCTGGAAATACAAATCCTAAAAAGGCTAACGTACTCCTTTGGAAAGGAAAGCTCTGGCTAGATTGTTCCCAGTGCATGCTTCTTAATTTTAATGTGAAAAATATGTATTTGTTCTTAATGGGAATTGAGAGTGTTTATGCATCTCTTGATATTTTAATTAACAAACTATTTCTTTCTGAAATCACAGGCAAATACATAATTGAAATATTTTTAACTTCTAGGTCTTGTCAATTGCTTTTGAAGTCCTGACAAATTATAATTTTTAATGCACTTGATCTTCAGCAGATGCTTTTATCTATTTCCACAGATACTTTTATCTAAATATTGCGTGCAAGGAGACATTGTCGTAACGTGTTTCGAAATGCGCTCTAGCAGAATTGGCAAAAGCAGGGGTCGTTAAGCATTGCTGTATGGCAGCATGTACATGACAGCATGTTTGCTAACACCGTGCACTTACTGTGCCGGCGTTGTCTGGAGTAGCTGAGTGGAATATCCTGCCCTTGCGTTGCAGGGGTGAACAGCCTGTCCCAGTCACTGAGTGCCAACGCGCTGATCGCCAGCACGCTCCTCCACCTGGACCTCTCAGGGAACGCTCTCCGCGGGGATGATCTCTCAGTAAGCACCACCTTCTGGATCAGGAATGAAGGGCTCTCTTGATTTACAGCCTAGAGAAGGGCAGAGCCATTTTGGCTGTGGGGAGGTGCAGTTCTGGTAGCAATAGAAAAAAACATTTTGATCTCTGCTCCTCAGGTGTCTGAGTTACCCCACGCAGCTAAACGAATCCACAGAGTTCACAGCATCAGACCCTGGTATAACTGATTAATGAGGAAAATTCTTACTAAAATTCTGTTGGGCAGCTCTTTTTTGCTACTATATGAAGTGCCATTGTGGTGCAGCTCTATCTTCTGTACAGCACAAAGCACTGAACTCTCAGTTTGTATGTACTCAGATTTTGACTATCACATCTATATTTCCTTTACATCAACAGGTTTTTTGTTGTTTGTTTTTTTGCACAGAAGTGTCAGGTTTTTAATTATTTTAAGTCTTAAGCATCTAAAATAAGTAGCACAGAAGCCATCCAATCCAAGCATCCAATGAACTTAAAGTGCTCATTCAAAGAACTAGTATTTTCGTATGTGAGAGTTGAAAGTTTCAGTGGGAAAAAAAGGATTTAAAGAAGTGGCAAATATAAATAGTTAAACACAAATAAAAATACAAAGTGGATCATTATCAAAGAGAGAACACCATGCTGGAAAAACATCTAAAACAAAATGTGCATCACTGACAAGAAATAAGTCTGATGTCTGCCTACAATATTTGAAGAGACATGAGCATGAAAAGTCAGAGTTTTCTTACTATGTCAAAGAGATCAAAGGAGAATATTTTTAATACTGAGATCTCTTAATCCGTGGAACAGTTATGCAACAGGAGCCAAGCGATCATGTTATATAGCATTTAATTTTAACCCCAACAATACAGAGAGATTTTTAAGTAGGGAACTTTCTTTCACTGTAGGTATATGGGCTGAATGACCTCATTTTAGGATAGATGATTCTATTTCAGAAGTGTGTAGCATGCTCTGTTTGGCTGGATTTCATGTGGAGTTATGTTTTCTACATTTCTGTGAATTAGGCCATACTTTTAGCTTTTTGTATTGTTCTGGGTGACAAAAAAAAGTCCAAAATAAAACTGCATGTAGCAAGGACTTGTACATAAACTAACATGCAGATGATGTATTCTATGCATTCCTAAAGACATTTATAATTAAAATCTTGTTACCCGTTCTGTATTCTCTCTTAAACTCTAGCACTGTTGACAGTAAAAAATATAATCATAGGCTTCAGACACAAATTAGTTACTTTCCTTATATGCCTGAAGGGACTGGCTTTACACTTTCAAACTGATTAGCCTTTCTGAAGTGTAACAGCAATCTGAGTGACATTCCAAGCTATTTCTAAATTAATTATAATTTCTGGGCAAAATGGGTTGCAAGATAACGGAGGATTTGTGCATCAAAGCACTGCTTGTTCATAGTCTAAGTACCGTTCTTTTCATGACTTTTTAACAAACAGTAGCCTTCAAAAGTAAAACAGGATATATAATTTAGATGAAAAGACATTTAAGACACCACTACTGTAGTGCAATTTGTAATAAAAGCCTAAAATATATTTCAGAAGTAGGTACGCAGTAGTTTATTTCACCAGTATCAGAATTAACATGCATGTGTTTTCCTCCTTTATTAAAGAACCTGTACAATTTTTTGGCTCAGCCAAATGCACTTGTTCATCTGGATTTATCCAACACGGAGTGTGCTCTAGATATGGTAAAGTATATTTTCATGCAAATTCAAATACCAAATAAACCACCTCTACCCTTCCCCCTCAGATATGTTTTTTGAGTTAATGGGAAGGAAAACCAGTCTTCTTGTTTTTCACAAGGTGTGTGGGGCTCTCCTTCGTGGATGTCTTCAGCATCTGGCTGTCCTTAGCCTCTCTAGGACACTCTTTTCTCACAGGTATGATTTAAATGATTTTATTGTTTACTCATGGAATTTTTGTTTTATAATGTATTGTCACTGATGCTGCTCTTCTCTTTTTTAAGAAGCTTAAAGACTTATCAAAGGGTCTACATGAAAGAAGTGTTAATTTATCCCAGGCAAAATATTTTGTCTCCCTTTCCACTCTTTGCTAGACAGCTCTAAAGTAAGCTACCTTGTCTAATACGCTTTTTATGATCCTGGTACAGCAAAGAATCTATAAACACTTTTTTCCTGTAAGTGGCATCATATCAGGCTTTGAAGTCCATCTTTAAACTTGATTTTTAAAGTATACATTTTGGTTCATGATTTGATGAGCGTTGCAAATGTTGTTTGGCTCCTTCCTTTTCTGGGAGGGACATCCCTCTGAATGTCTTCAAGACTGAACTTAGGTTTTGTACAATATTTACATCATAGGACATAACAATATTAGCTTCTCTTTTCTTCAAATCCATATGCTTGGGTCCATATCCAGAGGTGATACGTAGTTGATAGTAGGCTATTTGAGGGTTAAGTAATTATTTCTAATGGTGAAAATGTGGTTTTGGCACTTTCCTAGTATCACGTTTGACCTTCTGCTCCTAAGGTGAGTGTTTTCACTACCCTTCAGACCTAAATGATCATTCTGTGTAGTTCACAGACGAGACCATAGGCAGTAATGTCTCCTGAGCAGCAGTGTAACGCTGAGGGTTGCTCTTGAAGCTGAATCACTCTTTTGGTGACATCACGTTTCTGAGCTAATTGAGAGCCATTGATTATAGAGCAATTTGAGGTACAACAAATTAAACACACTTAAACACTAGTAAAAGATCGTTACTCTCCTGACAGCTTGCATTTGCTATTTGTTGGAATAAGGAGTGTACAGATGCTGCTACTTAATGAATCTATTTATTTACAGAAAAGGAAAAGAAGTCCCTCCGTCCTTCAAACAGTTTTTCAGCAGTTCACTTGCTTTGATGCAGATAAATCTTTCAGGAACTAAACTCCCTCCTGAGCCTCTGAAGTAAGAATTCATTTCATTTTCTCCTTACCTGAGAACTGTTTTGCATTGTTACTATGCAAGTGCTTCATATTTAAAACAGAGGGGAAAAGATTTTACTTGCCTTTTTTTCCATTATTACATTGATTACATTGAATGCATGAATGTTATGAAACTCGCTCTTGCAAGAAATATTGTTCCCATCTCACAGTTGAGACTAATCATATTTTGTTGTGTATGAATGTTGCAGCTGTTTAGCTTCCATCAACCTTTTTTTTTTTTTTTTTGTGATATGTTTCTAACTTTGTGGTTTGCGAGCAAAACTGCTTCACAGTAAAATGGGATTATATACTTGTGTGATTGCCATCCTTTGAAGTTGCAGTGTTGCAAGGGTCAGCGGGAAACTGAACCTGTTGCACTGCTTGAGGGGAGAGCCCAGTGGTGTGGAGCTTTGCTCTCCTTTCAGGACGAGAGAGGATAGCAGCAACTTCTAGGGAAGCAACTTGTAAATGCTTTTCTTCTCCTTCTGGCACCTACGCTGTGATATGTGGGGTGTACGTTCTCTTAGGTAAGCTGAATCTGGGTAGGCCGTCCAGTGATTCTGGCAAAACCTCTGTGTTTATTGGGCTAAATTAAAGAAAAAGCTCTTCTAAACACTTCGACCTGATATTTGTTCTGCATTAAAACATAAATAACCTCATCCACAGCTGACATCTGGATATGTTCGGTAATTGTTTCCAGTAACATATTCCCCAAATCCTAGTCTGGACACAGGCTCTGGGTCCATTTATGTAGTTAGGAGTCTCCTGAGGGGGAACGGAGGCAGGAAGTGGTCACTAACTTGGCCAGGGAATATCTGGGAAGTGGGAACTGATGGCAAAACCAGAGATGTGGGAGCTGCGGGACACTTACAGAGCACTGGATGGAAAACTTTGGGTGGAATCTGAGAGAAGCTAAGAGAGGGAGAAGTTAGAAGGGCCACGCATGAAAGAACAGTGTACATGGTGTGGGAGGAGTGCAGAGATCTGAGTGCGATGTGATGCTAAAGTAAGGTGCAATGGACTGAACTCAGTATCCAGCTGCACGAGCCTACTGCTTTGACTCGGAACTCTCCCTCTGCTCGCTACAACACTCTGGCTTGCTGCCTCAAGACTTTGTGTAGACTGGGAAGAAATGGTATTGATGCATTTGAAACCAGACAATGATTACTGAAAATATATTGGTTGGTCCAGTATAATTTGGGAATTTGATTCTGTGGTGGAAGGCTGCAAGGAATTATGTGTAATGAAGCAAGAAGAGTAGAAGTTATATGTAACTAAGACACAGGATGAACAGTAGTGCAGACAAAAAGGCGGCCATGACACATTTAATATCTGTGCAGATCAGGAAATATCAGAGGCTCTAAACCCTAGGGTTCATATTTAGCTTTCCCCCGTACATAATGAGTGCTACCTGTGATAGGAGGAGATTTGGCCATGGTGTGCTCTACAAATGGAAGATGGTGCTCGTGGAAGAGCTCACAGGAAATGTTACCCTATGAATGTCCTAAACACCTGGGACTCCTTGATCTCCCGACTGCACAGCTGACAAGATATTCCCAGTCCTTTTAAGCCAAAGTGATCCGGATAAGAAAAACTTGCTCTGTGGACCACGTTTTAGCTAATCCGACTCAGTTGGACTGAGTTTGATTAGATGGCACACCTGAGCAGAACTGACGAGCTCAGCTTAGGGTGAGCTGGGGGAGTAATGTGCTTCACCAGCGCAGCGAGCTGCGAGGGGGCATTGCTCCAGCACCCCCTGCACAGTAAGTTCACTTGCATTATGGCACTGGCTGCATTTATTTAGTTTTGGTGGCAGTGCTCATCGCTGCCTAGGGGGTGGCAAGGAGCTGCTAACATTGCCTGGCCCTTTCGGTTTTGTGCTTTTTCTTGACCTGAGCTGCTGCTTGGCTGAGGTGAGTCTCTTAACAACACTGGAGAGAACCATGATTTTCAGTGCACCTTGTCTTCCCTCCCAAAACAACCCTATTTGGTTTGATTAATGCACTTCAAAAGTATCCTGTGGAAGCTATTTTGATGTTCGTGCTGTTGAGGTGATTTTCAGAAATAACAGAAAAAGTAATATGTCTATTGCATCATAGCTTTGATTAATTTTTAAATTTAATTAATTTTTTATCATCTTCCTTTAGAGCAGCAGTTTGGGGGACTTAAATCCCATCACTGGTTCTGTCATTTTAAAGATGTTGGTTAGTCAGAGAGCAGGATGGAAGCTGCAATTGCTTGTGTAGTGATGGAGCTGTTAACGTAAGCCAGGCCTTGGCGGAAGAGGTTTGCTAGTGAAGCCACATTGATGAGGATGCCTCTTAATGTCAGTAAAGGGTGCTTTCAGTTATTATAATTAGTTAATGTAGCTAATGTGTTACTGTAGCTTTCTTAAAAAAAAAGAATAAAGTAGATTATTCATATTCTTTTCCATTTTTAAATATATGTTGGAGTTCTTGTTAGCTTATGCACTGCCAAAAATTGCATTTTGATCTGTCAGTGCTATGACAAGAAAGTTTTCTGATCTGCTTTTCATCCAAATGTTTCTTCTGAGGCAAATCATTGCATATACCTCATTTGACCAGGCTTTCCGAGGTATCACCACGTGTCTGATTTAAGCATAGTGGTTTTAGATAGATACAGTACTTATGATGTTTCTCCAGGAAGTTGAGAAATCGAGAGACTTTTTTCTTTAGAATAAGTTTATACTAAATTATCTTAGGAAAAAAAAACTTTTCTGTGAAGAGAGTCTATTTATAGCAGCACATTGTCTTTTTTTTAAACTTTTTCATGCTTTTTTTCATGCTTGTGCTATAATTTTTATGTGGTCGCAAAATATTTAGAAAGTTATTTGCAAAGTTTGCCATCTATCAAACTAACTTTGGATTAATGCATATGGTCGCAAAATATTTAGAAAGTTATTTGAGAAGTTTGCCATCTATCATGGAAGGGCAGTTTAGACAGAGATGAACTAAAAATTTGTGCTTTAATAGTCTAGAGAAATAACTGAGTGCAAATATTAAATAGGTACTTACAGAGCAGACATAAAGAGCTTTAAATTAAAAACTTTCTGCTGCGCACATCATAAATATGGCTTTTACACACTGCTTGCCTAGCAAGTGTTTAGGCAATGGCTCAGCAAGATGGATCGATTTTTATCTCTGGGTACCTTGGTTTGGGTTATAGTTTGGGCATAGTTTGGGTTGTGTTAGCTTAACATTGGCTGAAATGAAATTTGGGAAGGAAGGCCGGGTTACAGGCATGAAGAATGTTGTGATTTTTCAGTGGGAACAAGTGTTTGAGTGCTACAGACTCTGTGCTCTGTTGATGTGACTGACTGCAGTGCATCTTGCGTTTATTAAAAGCACCATTTTTTCCTGAAAGATTTTTTGGGTAAAAAAAATACAACAGAGAACTAGTATGGCTGTACAACAGAATACTCGTGATGTACTCATTTGATGCTTTTTCAAAACAAATGTTGAAGATAATCTCTGATGGACATAATTAGCTACTGATCCTTAGTTAGTTTTACTATATGTTTATTGGCATTGTGTCTCTGCAGTCTTTGCAGCTGCTGGGGAGCTCATAGCGTGGCAGAGCAGGTTTGCGCTGCCGCTTGGTTGATGTGATTTTGTTTAGTTCTATCTCTGCTGCTGTGGGTGTGTTAACCTGTGATTGTTTAGATTATGGTGATGTTGAAAAGCTGCTTTAAAAAAAAATGGTTCTGATATTGATCTTTTTCAGAGCGCTTTTATTAGGCCTGGCTTGCAATCACAATCTGAAGGAGGTGTCTTTAGATCTCAGTAGCTGTGAGGTAAGGATTATTTATCAGAATGTGTTCAAAAGATGCATTGACTTGGAGTTCTCCTGAAATCCCCTGGGCCAGATGTTTTCCCTCTGTAATCAAAAGTTGTGGGAAAGGTAGAAATCAAGAGAAGTATTTGTGGTCAAAATGAGCTGCTGTGTGATGCCGTGTCATAATAATAAAAATAAAGTGCAGAGCACCTGTAGCACATCCCAGTGACCAAATACTCCTCGCAAAAGCAATTTCAGCTAGAGCCAGTGAGCTGCTCGCTGCGTGGCAGCATCTGCCCTGTGACGCTGCACAACCCTGCATCTGGTTTTCCACCGCGCCAAAAATGAACAGGTCCCTGGAAGCTGCGTGCCCTGAAGGGGATCCTCTTCTGCAGGTTCACTTTTAAATCCTGGGAGAAATTCTGCTTTCCCAGTCAGTTAAGGAGTTCAGTTCAAAAGGAAATTCTGGTAAGAGATGACGGAAATATGCTGTTAACTTCAGAGGCACTACGCAAATGGCTTTATGTGTCACTTCAATAAATAACCAAAAAGTTGTGGAAGGATTGCTTTATTTTACCTGTGTGGCTGTACATAATAATCCGTACAGATCATAAAAGATCATGTGTGAGCCCGGGGAGCTAGTGAGGCAAGGGCACACAGGGAGCTGGGAGGGCCTTGGCCAGCAAGAACGGGAAGGGGCCTTAGCTCTGGGCTTCACAAGCTGAGGGGCACGCTTTCCTTTTTAAACTACAAAGAAGCTTCTTATTCAATAGGCCGACCTTTCCATGCCTGTCACCTGAGTATTGGCCATTCCTCAAGGGTCTTTGAATTGCAACAGTTTCCCTTGAAATAAAAAACACACGACTTGATACACGGTTGAGGTGCAGTAATCCTTGCCTTAGCTCCATGGTTGATTGCTGCCTCAGGTCCATGGTTGATTGCTTTTGGAATGTGCTTAGTTCGCTTTATGAAGAAAAAAAACATCGTGAATGTATTTCACAGTCTGTTTTGATATTTTTTGCTTGTAAAAATGGTCTGCTTTGAAGAGCACAACATGTAAATTCCAAATAAAAAAACTTTCAAGTCAAGCACTCATGCCTTTGACTTCTGAGCAGATAGATCAGTAGGATGATTACTTCCTTTCAGAGAGGAGAAGGAAAAGGCAAGAGTAATTAGAGTAACAGAAATGGATTCCTGTAATCTTAGTCTTAAAAAAATTAATAAAATGCAGACTTCAATAATGAGACTATAACTTAGCATGTAAATCATGTAAGGCAGACAGGAGTGAACCTAAACCTATCTTCCAGGCCTGGAACTGGGTGCAATTTATTAAATGACTCCCCAGGTAGGCTGTGGAGGAGCCCTTCAAGAAGGGATCAGCTGTATCGGACATCAGCAGGGAAGGGGTCGTGGTAAACTCTCATGAGAAAAAGGGAGGGATTATGCCCAACTTTGTGTTACACTCCCTTCCATGATCTGCTTGCTTCAGCACTTCCTAGGTGTAGGGTGCCTCTTCCAAAGCAAACTGTGAACTTGGAACATGTACAAGAGAGACAAGCTACAGCCAGTCTCTCCAAACTGACAGCACTTCCTTAGCTCCTTCCCTTAACATTTTTTTCACATCTCTGAGCTTTATCCATTCTCATGTGCTTTGGAAAGAAGAAATTACGCAAGGAGGGAATTAACGTGCCGGGAGCTGGAATTAGGGTCCGCGAGCCCAGCGGAGGGGCAGGTGCCTGGCCCTGGCAGCGGAACAGCGGGAAGCTGGAGCCAGCCGGCCGCCCGCTCCCGGCCCGGGGGCTGGGGGGCGGCAGGACCCAGCCGGCCGCCCGCTCCCGGCCCCGGAGCACGCGCTGCTCCCGGGCTGTGGGGCTGCAGGAGCCAGCCGGCCGCCCGCTCCCGGGCTGTGGGGCACGCGCTGCTCCCGGCTGTGGGGCTGGGGCTGCAGCTCTGCCCTTCTCCCTGCATCACCGGCTATATCCCACCATGCAGAGATCAGTTTCACAGTTCCTTCCCTCTCCCACCACTTTTAATTTGCTCCCATAATTTTCTGGTTTTATCAAGCTTAATCATTTTATATTGCCTGTTCTTTTATTTATTTACTTATTTATTTTAAACTATGAAAATTACATTTTTATTTCTACCTGCTCAGCACTGATATATTTCACTCTTTTCCCTTCTGCTTCCCTTAGCTTGGTCACTGTGTAAGTACCCTCCATGCTTTACCTTAATTGTTAAATCAATAAGCAGCTTTGTTTCCACTTCCCATCTTAGTGCCTGGTAGCTTTGAACACACTTGGCTTTTTGAGTTGTTGAAGGGCTGCTTCTTCATTGGCTAAAGCAGACCTGCTATTTGTAGTCTCATAAACATGACATGTTGCAGAGTTTTGTTTTCAGTATTATGGACCTTGTTGACAAATAGCCCTCCAGTCAATCTCTGCTTTTATGTATACACGAGATTTTAGTACAACTGTGATAATGGCCTGAGCTTTAGGGTCACAATTTATGTCCCTCCAATTTTATAGATATCAACATTTTCACACATGCGCGTGTGTCTCTATTTAAGATCTTGAATATAGAATAATGAGTACAAGGTGGAAAGCTGCTCTTGGAAAATCTGTTCACTTCAACACTTTCCTGTAGATGTAGCATAAACATTTCGAGGCCCATTGTGAGCATAATTTCAGGGTATATAACTTATACCACTAAACAATGGATAATGTAATCCTTTATCTTTGCTGACCCCGTTCTCTAAAAATGGCACAAACTGACTTTTAATGCTGCTATTTTAATATAAAAATGATTAAAATTTATTTTCACTAAATTTCCTGCTACAACTAATTATATCATTTTAGAACAAATTAAAAATTTGGCTACAATGAAAACTAAATTTTCACATCTGGTTGGGATGGTCTGTATGTAAATCGTCTTTCTGTTTTTACCTTTGACAAGGCCTCGTGTGACATGTCCCTTGCATTGGTTCAGCGCTAATCAGTGTGGAAGGCTGCACAGAATGGTTGTCTTGTAGCAGCCAAGTCTGCCGGATAATCACAGAGCAGAACCAAATGATTCTGGCATTCATATGGCAAGTGTTACAAATGCTGTTATAAAAAATGGAGGATAAGATGAGGATGTGTAGGTTCTGTTCCACGCATAGAAGGGTATTTTACCCTCTTCACCTTTGTATTTTTAGATGTGGCCTACAATTTAGATGCTCTTTGACCACCTCTGTTCTTAAAATGCTTAGACCAACATATTGAACCACTCAGTAACCAATCGCAAATCCCAAGCTTTCCAAATAGTGCCAAATAATGTCATTATTGAAAAATACAGCTATGAGACATTTCTGGCTCCTTAATTATGGCATGGGTAAAAGAGAGCGTACACAGAAATACTGGCAGTTTGATTCGGGATGTTTGGCCACATAAACTAAGCAAAATATTACTTTTTTTTAAAATGCACAGAGTTGAAATGGTTATTTTATGTTTGAAAACTTTTCTATTTTTGAAGCAGAGTGAAAATGGAAAATGTTTTGCAAAAATAGAATTCCTGTAGAACTCTTTTCCCCATTTCCTTAAGTCTTTTCCTGGGTGATGATCATAAAGCAAAGATGCATTTTAGAGGGCTTGCAGTAGCTGCAAGAAACATGAAGATACTTTACTCCTTTCAAAAAGTTTGTTGCCTTCTTTAATTCAGTAGCATTAATAACCAAGTGTGTAAGTTTTCATGACTTGAATTCTCAACGTTGCTACTAGGCTTATTCTTTGCTTATTCATTAAATCCTTGATTTTTCTTTAGTGTTTTAGATTAATAATGCAATGATCTATACTTTCCGGTGAGACCTTTCAGTTTTTTGATATTGTTTCCTCTTTTGTGTGATTTGGCTTCTCACCTGAACTGGGCACCCTCTCATGGTGCTGAGAGCTAAAAGAAGAGCCTTGCTGTAAGACTGCAAGACTCGACAGTAGTGGAAGTCAAGGATAAGTGTTGCGTGTTCTTATACTGTGGCCAACCTTTCTCCCACTGGCACTAAAAATATCCTGGCCCTTTTGCATAGGGAGCCTGCGCCCAAGTCCTGCAGCCATTTCCCAGCAGAAGGGCTATGGGAGCTTATTGCCTCCACCATTTAAATATCTCCCTGGTTTAACTGCTGAGTAGAAGCTGTAAAAGAAAGGAAGGTGAATCCTTTCACTCATGCATATTTTCTCATATGTTGTGAGAGTCGAGGATGGGAATGAGAACAGTAGGATTGTGTGCATAGGATGTCATTTTTGATGTCTGTAACTTCTGTTGCTGTTGTTTTTGCCACTCTTGGTATCCTCTGTTTTCTCAAAGCTCTACCACTGTTTTCTGTGTGATCTCAAAACCCTAACTAGTTTGCAAAAATGGCTGATGTTTTATCTCTAGTTGAGATCGGGAGGTGCACAAGTCTTGGAAGGATGCATAGCAGAAATACACAATATCACCAGCCTAGATATTTCAGACAATGGTAAGTACACAGAACAGGAACGGAGGGTCACGCGAGTGCAGAATCTGGGAAAGTGCTTTTTCTATCAGCTCGCAATGTAATCCAGGGTAGCTGCTCTTGCTGTATGATTATTGACTGTATTAATGATGGGAACGTCTCAGTTTCAGAACTCTCATTGCTATGAAGAGTATAAAGCTGCTTTCCTACTAACTCTAACCTCAGAAGTTCATTTTGTTGGAGATAGGCATAACAACAGAATAAAAGTGATGACAGCAAGCATCTTACTAGATCTACATGGTTTTGTGCAAATGGGTTAAATAAGAAAGGATGAGAAATGAAAGTATGATGAAGGAAAGAAGGGAGAGGAAAGACCAAGTATGAAACAGAGCTCAGGTCATGGCACTGAAGAAACAAGGGAAGCTTGGAGCCTACAGTCAGCCAGCTCCAGCTCAGAGAAAGTCTGAAGTGGAAAGTTCCTGAAATGTTGTTGCTTATTGTTGTTTATTATTAACTTGTTAACTTACTGCTGTTTGTCGTTATAAATTTGGCTCCTAATTCATAGTAATCTAAATAGTAGACTCTTCAAATCCGCCAGTAGTTTAGGAGTGCTAAATTACAATATGCCATTATTTTCATTTAGGAGCAGAATAAAAATCACCTTCTCTCTCTCCCACTCCCATTTTATTTATGACCTGTTATGTTAGCCTGTTAGCATGTACAGGTTTTGAGGCCATGTTGGTAAACATCTCAGTTGAAACTGAATAACAATCAGCATGGTCTCAAATTCCTGAAGGAACATCCAACTTTGCCTCACAATGCTAGGGCCCACTCTCAGGGGGCTGAAGTAAGGATAAGTAACTATATTTCTCTTCTATGAGATCATGAGGCTGATCAGGGTAGAAATTTAAATGGCTTATCTTTTGAGCCAAAGGCTCGTGAGACACACAATGGCTCATATTTATTCTTAAGGAAAAAGAGACCAAAAAGAAAATAAAGACTTAAAAATTGTAGTTTTTTAGAGCTATTTAAATTAGTACACTGATGTAGTGGCTTGAGTGAATATAGCTTTCACAGTTGAACCCTATCTGGGTCTTTCATTAAAATGTGTTTTAATTCTTAATCTAATCTGATTCTTTACAGGCCTAGAATCTGACCTCTCAACCCTTGTAGTCTGGCTTAGTAAAAACCGATCGATAAGACACTTGGCGTTAGGCAAAAACTTTAACAACATGAAATCCAAGTAAGGCTTTTTAAATTTTATTTTCAATAACAAGAAAATAGATGAGGAGAAGCTGCTGATTTCATCATCTCCCTAACTTTTCTTCCCTCAGAAATCTCACTCCAGTACTTGATAATTTAGTTCAGATGATTCAAGACGAGGATTCAGTGAGTATCTCTCTGCCTACTATCACCATGTGTATTTGATCTTCATAGCTTATTTCGGGTAATTTTCTTCACTGTGTTAATTTGCTGCATAAGATTTGATCATGATTCTGCAAATCTTTTTTTTTCGAATCTTTTTTTCCAATAATAATTGTTTGTTGTTTGTAGCATATAGATATCAGTTTCTTAGCTTACTGTTAGGATATGTATCTGTTGAAGAAGTAATTCATTCTAAATAGCTGAATGGACTTAACCGTGTTTGCTTTAGGTCTAAATTATACAGCCCTCTAGACACAAATTTATAAAGCTTTTATGTCCACGTAGGAGATTACAACCATAGTGTTCTGGGATTGATGAGGTTCCCTAAATAACAGATTTCTTTTTTAATTAACACTTTTCAGAATGCACTATTTCCTTGTGCCTATTATTAGGTATAAGGTATTGCTTTTTTTTTTTTTTGCCTGACAAAATGTGAAGTTACTGCAGTCATCTTCCAGAGCACCTTTGTCTTTCAAAAGATGCAAGCCGTGTGCAAGGTTATTTTTCACCTCTAGCGCATTAATCACAGGAGCAATTTCATAAAACCCTTTCACAGTGCCATGCTGGGATGCTTGCCCACTTTCCTCATTTCCAGCCTTTCGTAACTCTGAAAGACTGCTTTCTTGCCTTGCTTGGCACCTTAAATTTGGCGAGATGGGAAACTTAAAAGTACACTGTTGCTGTCATGCTTGTGGACCCCTATTCACCTTTGCCTAGTCCTTTTCTTCGACTTCATTCCCCTTGCAGATAACAAGCAGGCTTCACTTTCCTC